GAGAGGAGCCTGATAACTAAAAGATCTGCCTCCCATCCTAATTTTAGATATGCTGGGAACCACCAGTAGACCTGTAGAATTCCCCGTTGTCTGCAGCCATCACGATGTCACTGTTAGTTTGTGAAACACCAAAATATTAAAATACAAACTATGGTATCGAAGTTTGCTTGAGTTTCATTAGTAGTTTATAATAGATTGGTCTCTTCATCATAGTTATTCCAGAGGGCATAGAAGAGGATGAGGAGTGCATGGAGTTGGGTTTGTTTTTGCGTCCCTTAGAAACAGTTGTGGTTAAAGGTTTTCATATTGCAGAATTTTGTACGACACTACAATGATAAAATACAAACTGTTTTAAGTTATTTATCATGATATTTATCAATTGTGGTTATATATTGGGACAATTATGTATATTTATTTAAATAAGCAATTAAAATAAAAAGTATCGAAAATTGGTAGAGTTAAGTACCGGTATTGATTCGTGGGTACTGGGGATTAGTACCGTAATGATTCAAATGTCAAAGGTGCCCATCTCTAGACAGAGTGCAGCCCTCTACCCTGGGAGGGGTGTTAACATCACACATACCATAATAAAGGGGCCGCATGCGAACAAGTACGACAACAATTCATTAAAGACTCCTGTATCAAGACAGTGGTCAAGATCACAGTTTTTCTGATGTTCTGAGATTTAATATAAATCAAATCTGATTAAATAAATTCAATTTGATTTTTCTTCAGAAAAGTATAAACAGAAAATGTTCATGAACAAAAAATCTGAAGTAGCAGAAGTCAAACCTAACATGTGTTACAACCTGGTATTGATTTTTTATATGAACAACTCTCAGTGTCTGAGTTTCAGGTGATATTGTCTGTCAATGTTCAGGAGCTTTTAGCTGCTGTGCTCTTCTGCAGAGCGGTTCTTGTCCTGCTGCACACAACCTCTTTCTTGCACTCTTAGCACATCCAGGGAGTGGACCTGTTTCACCCCTGACCTGCCCTCGCTGCTTTGTCCAGTCCTTCTCCACTGGTCCAGGGGACATGGTTGTAACCTGGAGAGGAGGTCACTGGAGGGCTTTCATCCTCACCAAGCAGCTGTGCACACTGCTGCTCCTGAAGTTGCTGATGTTTCACTGCCTCCTTCTGCTGCTTGTAGCTGATGTGTTTGTGGAGCTGGTGGTGAGGCAGCTGACAGCCAGAGGTTCTTCTGGGGATAAATCTGGTTGTCGTGGGTCGACGGTACCTGGGTCTGGCTTTGTTGTCCAGGAGTCCAGAAGGTGTGGAGCATCTCCTGCAGCATCCTGTCTCTGACATTGTCTATTGCTGGTGGTGGTGGATGGCTCTTCATCAGAAGTACCTCTAAAATTATAAATATATCAGATTTTATAAAACATCCTCAAGCAGTAAACACTAGTGAATGAAAACTGTAAAAAAATACAGAACTAAAGCTAGAAATAGATTTGAACTGTAGATAAACTCACAGCAGCTGTGATGGAAAATCATCTTCATCCACACCTGGATCCTCAACCACAGATGGACCTTTGGTTTTCCTGGGAGTAGCAGAAATAGTATATAATAGTATAGTAATAGTATTAGCAGAAATACTAGACAACAGAAACTGGAACGTGTTTAGTGCAGAGATACTTACTGCATTTGGGATGGAAGAACAATGTGGGCACATCTTGCTCCTCATCAACAAATCTGGAGTGAAGTTTCTTCTTTCTAGAAGATTTCCTGGTTGCTCCGTTATTTACAAAAACAAATCTAACATTTACACTCAACAAAAATATAAATGCAACACCTTTGTTTCTGCTCCGATTTTTCATGAGATGGACTTAAAGATCTAAAATTCATTCCAGATACACAATATCACCATTTCTCTCAAACATTGTTCTCAAATCAGTCTAAATGTGTGACAGTGAGCACTTCTGCTTTGCTGAGACAATCCATCCCACCTCACAGGTGTGCCACATCAAGATGCTGATCTGACATCATGAGTAGTGCACAGGTGTACCTTATACTGCCCACAATAAAAGGCCACCCTGGAACGTGCAGTTTTTTTGCTTTATTGCGGGTCTGGGGACTCAGAACCTGTCAGTATCTGGTGTGACCACCATTTGCCTCATGCAGTGCAACACATCTTCTTCGCATAGAGTTTATCAGATTGTCAATTGTGGCCTGTGGAATGTTGGTCCACTCCTCTTCAATGGCTGTGCGAAGTTGTTGGATATTAGTGGGAACTGGTACACGCTGTCGTATACGCCGGTCAAGCACATCCCAAACATGCTCAACGGGTGACATGTCCGGTGAGTATGCAGGCCATGCAAGAACTGGGACATTTTCAGCTTCCAAGAATTGTGTACAGATCCTTGCAACATGGGGCCGTGCATTATCTTGCTGAAACATGAGGTGATGTTCATGGATGTACGGCACAACAATGGGCCTTAGGATCTCATCACGGTATCTCTGTGCATTCAAAATGCCATCAATAAAATGCACCTGTGTTCTTCGTCCATAACAGATGCCTGCCCATACCATAACCCCACCACCACCATGGGCCACTCGATCCACAACACTGACATCAGCAAAGCGCTCACCCAGACACGCTGTCTGCCATCTGCCCTGAACAATGTAAACCGAGATTCATCCGTGAAGAGAACACCTCTCCAGCGTGCCAGACACCATCGAATGTGAGCATTTGTCCACTCAAGTATGTTACGGCGACGAGCTGGAGTCAGGTCAAGACCCCGATGAGGACGACGAGCATGCAGTTGAGCTTCCCTGAGATGGTTTCTGACAGTTTGTGCAGAAATTGTTTGGTTATGCAAACCAATTGTTTCAGCAGCTGCCTGAGTGGCTGGTCTCAGACGATCTTGGAGGTGAACCTGCTGGATGTGGAGGTCCTGGGCTGGTGTGGTTACACGTCGTCTGCAGTTGTGAGGCCGGTTGGATGTACTGCCATATTCTCTGAAACGCCTTTGGAGACGGCTTATGGTGGAGAAATGAACATTCAATGCACGAGCAACAGATCTGGTTGACATTCCTGCTGTCAGCATGCCAATTGCGCGCTCCCTCAATGCTTGTGGCATCTGTGGCATTTTTACTGTGAGACAAAACTGCATATTCCAGGGTGGCCTTTTATTGTGGGCAGTATAAGGTACACCTGTGCACTACTCATGATGTCAGATCAGGATCTTGATGTGGCACACCTGTGAGGTGGGATGGATTATCTCAGCAAAGCAGAAGTGCTCACTATCACATTTAGACTGAAATGTGACCAATGTTTGAGAGAAATGGTGATATTGTGTATCTGGAATGAATTTTAGAGCTTTAAGTCCATCTCAAGAAAAATCGGAGCAGAAACAAAGGTGTTGCGTTTATATTTTTGTTGACTGTATGTTGGGTATTTTTAAATTCTGAAACTTAACCCTGAAATGAACCACACACAGGAGAGGAGTCAGTAGGTTTTACACTGTGAGGAGAAAGCGCAGAGTCACCAGCCAAAAGCCTGTCCCAGGCCCTTGTCCGATTAACTCTGGCGTGTTTTCTGCACCACTGATGGTTTTATTGAAACACAGGCATACAGAGACAAAGGACCATACATCATTGTCCATATTTGACCAATAAACACTGTTGCTTCTATCTAAGATGGGGCCTTCTAAAAAGGAAGTCTCAACTTACAGGGTGGCTGCAAGCTTCCCCGTTACCCAGCAGGGCCTTCCCAAAGGAAGTCTTAATTTATGATTGACAGCCAGAAACTCAGTTACCAGGGATACGAGTTGCCACACAGGCTATCCCCCAACCCCAATGCTCATCAGGCAGCATTCCAGAGCTATGAGGAAAGGAGAAAGAACCCTGTGGCTTTCTTATTAACTTATGATTACTTAAAGAGGAGCATTTAAAACAGTAATACATAAAAATACCTAACATTATATTATGTATATCTATGTCTATGGCCAACACAACCGCAGTAGATGGGTTAAGTACAGCAGCTTTGGGGGTCCTAGTGGCTTGGGGGCCCTATGCTACTGCACAGGGTGCACATAGGAAGAAACGACCATGCCTCAGTCACTCGTTACCATGCACCCATGAGTGGAGGAAACCTTGGACACAGCACAAAGACAAACCACCAGTAACCACCTGCAGCTGTAGCCTGTAACCGCCAATAAAACCAGGAGTAGCACGAACCAGCTGAGTTGATTAGAGTTGGACTGAAACAGAGCAGCAGAGAATCTCACCCTTTCATCTGATGAAGCCCTAGTAATGGGAGTGACCCCAGCCTACCAAAAGCATAAACCGCTTGCCCTTCATGTCTTCAGTGAAGACCGACACGAAGAGTTGGCGTAGCCATTGATGACCTGGAAGCAGCAGCAGCAGGAGGGAGCGTGTGACCAAGGGAAAACCCAGCCTTTATATACACAGCGCCCTCTGCTGATAATCAGTCTACTGAAAGCAGGTGTGGTTGATATCATCCTGCTACGTGGATGGAGGGGTGGGTGGGTTAAAACATATAACAGATATTGCTGTAGAACCATGACAGCACTGTGTTCCCCGGTCACTGCTGCTCACTGTTTTGAGGTAGATCCCATCAGCACTTTTGGGATCATATGGATTATCTTCATCCCTTAATTCTCCCTCATCATTGAAAGGCAGATGACTAAGATACATAATTCACAGGTGGTTCCTTAGTTATAAATACTTTTCCCATTAGCAGTTGGCTGAGGTGGGAACACCCCCACAGCTTTGTTTCAGCTCAGAGCAGACGTGGTTTAGCCCATCTCTCCAGTAAAATCACAGCCATTTATGAGCTCCCTGAGATTGTATCCCCTCGTCTATCCACGGGGCGCCTCTTCGTCACACCGCCGTGTGAAACAAAAGGCTGTTCTGTGCCCACTCGTACCGTATTTGATGGAGCACATTTTCAAGTGTTTGTTGAATCTGGCTCAAGCTGCAGTCAAACAGGAACTGTCTGTTGTTTTCTCTCCCACCTTGTGGCGTTGTTCTAGGGGCGTGGGCTGTATCCTGTATGAGATGGCAACAGGTCGTCCCATGTTTCCTGGTGCCACTGTAAAAGAGGAGCTACATTTAATATTTAGGCTCATGGGTAAGTAATCAAACTGTGAGTATGTTCATTAAAATACAGAATGAGATTTTTAAAAAGCATTGATTATTCAGGTTTGAGCAGCTTTATGTCTGATTTATCCACACAATGAAACTCAAGCTTGGACACCATGGAAGAGTTTTCTTCCAGGCCTACAGGATTGTGTTTGTCCATTAGCAGCTGTATATGATGGGGTAGAAAGGCCTTTAAGGCTGGGGGATGTCGTTTCAGATTTTTAAAGTAACTTTAAAAATGACTATGACCGTATTCTATGATGTAGAGTGGGTACAGAAAGCATTCAGACCCACATCAGTTTTTCACTTATATTGCAGCCATTTGCTAAAATCAATTAAATACATTTTTCCCCATGAACGTACACACAGCACCACATGTTGAAGGAAAACACAGAATTTTAGATATTTATGCAGAGTTATTAAAAAAAGACAAACTGAAATACCACATGGTCCTAAGTATTCAGACCCTTTGCTCAGTATTTAGTAGAAGCCCTTGTAACGTCCAGCAATGGTCAGTTTTAGGTACAGTTTGGCCGTTCAACATCTGGTCAGAAAGGAGACACAAGACTGCACGTGTTCCCTTTAAACCAGCCTGCCTCCCTCCCACCAGCTGGAGCTCAGAGCCTCTCTGCAGCTCTGAACACACGATAACGAACTGTCAACAATAACATTCTCTCCTCAAGGTCCAATCTTTCAGGACTCTTCGTGCCTCCATATAAGGAACACTCGCAGCCCAGATTTCCTAAATCAGATATGAACTTCTACAACTTATAAGCTAGATAATCAATAAATAAACATTTGTTTATTCCTACTTATAATAATTATAATATAATGAAATGTTTCATTAATCTGTGCTCAATGATTGAAGTTTGAAATGAATGTTATGTCATGATTACATTGATTTTTATGTTTCAACATGTTTATATGACAAGGTCATCAGCATTTGCACTCACACAAGAACAAAGTAAAGTTAAGTGGAACGCGTGACACATAGATAGTACTTTACCCAGATCAGAGCATCCGGTATCAAAGAAGGCGTGTTTCCGAGATTCTTGGTAATATTCCTCAACATGTCAGCCTCTGGTTGGCTACACAATCATAACATGAGAACATTAAAACCGGATCACTCTGGTGATTCATCAGTTCTGGAGAAAGCTTCAGACCGGCCATCTGAAGCAAAACCTCTTTAACCATCAAAGCTTTTGACACGCCGTCAAAACCTTTCTGCACCTGCGAAGCTGATACCGCAACAGTTCCTGCAGAACAAGCTGATCTTGTTCCGACTCCTTAAAGAGTCCCAGACGCGCGGTTCCATCCATCTGCCGTGACCCGAGACATCTCTGGACTAGAGAAGTCGGTGCTGTGGTCAATCTACTGGACCTTCGGTGCCAGAGGTCATCCGACCTCTCTGACCTTCGGATCCACCAAGAGGGTCTCCAAAACGGGTGAAGTAGACACACAGATAGCGTCTGATGCCTTTTGATAATAATCAACTTCATAGCTCAACGCAAACCAAATTATTTTGCATCCAGAACTCGGCTCTCCTAGAAACGGAAGTTCTGACCATCACCACATTCACACATAGGTTCATACATCACATCTAGTTCCATCCATCACAGTAAATGTTAGTGAACTTGTCATGTTTTAATTGTTGGTAAAATAAATTCTTACTTTTATAAACCTGACTGTTTACTGAATCTAAACCAAGTGTGTACAATCCCCTGATGAATAAAGAATCCTAGAATCTTCTGATAAACACACAAAGACCAGGCAGGGTGATGTTCTATGTTTAGATAGAGTATCACACCTTATAAGTAGAGGTAATATATATATTGAGCTCTTAAAGCTCTCAATTTACCAAACCCTACACCCCTGCAAGCTAGCACAGCCATGAGTCTTCTTGGTAAAGATGCAACAAGCTTCTTACACCTGCATTTGGGATCCTCTGCCATTCCTTCTTGCAGATCCTCTCCAGTTCTGACAGGTTGGATGGTGAATGTTGGTGGAGCCACTTGTAGGTCCTTCCAGATGCGCTCTATTGGGTTTAAGTCAGGGCTCTGGCTGGGCCATTCAAGAACAGTCACAGAGTTGCTGTGAAAGCACTCCTTTGTTATTTTAACTGTGTGCTCAGAGTCGTTGTCATGTCGAGTCTGCGGTCCTGAGCACTCTGGAGAAGGTTCTGGTCCAGGATATCCCTGTTTTTGGCCGTATTCATCATTCCCTTGATTGTAACCAGTCGTCCTGTCCTTACAGCTGAAAAACACCCCCACAGCATGATGCTGCCACCGCCATGCTTCACTGTGGGGACTGTATTAGACACGTGATAAGCAGTGCCTGGTTATCTCCACAGTTCTATCTTGGTCTCATCAGACCCGAGAATGTTATTTCTCATGCATCAGTTTGGATGTGCTACGTTTAGTAAATGATCAATAAGATGTGATAGTCCATACAAATATGAATTATCAATCTGATTGGTCTTTGAATGTTTGATTTAGATTCCTCTAGGTCCTTTGACTATTCAGGGAACACACACTTCATATTAATCCAGACAGAGAAAAAGATATAGTTTATAAAAATGAATTTAATTCTATCTTTCTAAACTAATGATTGCACATGACAAAGTATGAATGAAATGGTGGAATGCAAGCTTAGATGTTTGTAGCAAAGCCTTGTATATATCTGAGAGATCTTCTGATGTCCGGGTCGTAAAATCAGTTTGGCTGTATGGTTTGATAAGATGCACCCAGTGTCCACAGGATTTAGACGTTCCCCATCTGAGGTGCTGTTGTGTCTGACATCACTCGCAAGCGTTGCAGAGGCTTTGACCTTGGGGTCAAAACAGAGGAGGGTTCCAAATGCTTGCCTGCGGGTCGGCCGATCCAGGAGGTAGCGGGAGAACTGACTTGATCAGGAGTGACCCTTGTATCCATTAACTGTTGTGGACAAATGTATACAAATCAGAATTTGACAAGTTTTAAAGGTGTTACCAAGACTCAGAGTCCCTCCTTCACTCAGATACTTAGAGGTTCATTCTTAGTGTGAAGTGAAAATGTTGTAACAGTTATGTGGAGCTAAATGTTGCACTGATTAAAATATTATTATATTATTGTAGAATCAACAATTACTGATCTGGTATAATTTAAGATCTGAAATGAATCGTTACAGGAAAACATTCATTTGAACTCACATCATAAAGTATAGGTCACATTTTTCAAACACTTTGGATTTAAACAGATTCATTCAGCCACAGTGATCTTTAGGTTCTTCTTTACCTCTCTAACCAAGGCTCTTCTCCCCCGCTAGCTCAGTTTGGCTGGACGGCTGGCTCTAGGACGGGTTCTGATTGTCCCAAACGTCTTCCATGTTTGTGGAGGCCACTGGGCTCTTAGGAACCTAAGTGCAGCACGGATGTACTCCTCAGACTTCCAGTACAAGTCAGAGACCTGTCATCTACAGAAATACTCAGATGACTCTGCAGTTGTCGGGTGTATCAGAGATGGACAGGAAGCTGAGTACAGAGAGCTGGTGGAGCGCTTTGTGGCATGGTGTGGAAACAATCATCTGATCTTGAACGTGAACAAAACAAAGGAGATGATTTTAGACTTCAGAAGAAACAGGGTGGAGTCAAAAACTGTTTCCATCATGGGAGAAGAAGTGGAGGTGGTTGAGGAATACAAACACCTTGGGGTTCACCTGGACAACAGACTGGACTGGAGAAAGAACAGCGAAGCCGTTTACAAGAAGGTACACAGCAGACTGCACTTCTTGAGGACGCTTAGGTCCTTCAGTGTCTGTAGCAAGATGCTGCAGATCTTCTACAAGTCTGTTGTTGAGAGTGTAATCTCTTCAGCCATCGTCTGTTGGGGTAGCAGCATCAGAAGCAGGGACCTGAAAAGGCTCAACAGCCTAATAACAAAGGCTGGTTCTGTTCTGGGGACGACTGTGGAACCGCTGGAGGAGATAATGCAAAGAAGGATTCTCCAGAGAATCAAGAACATGATGGACAACCCTGAGCATTCTCTTCACAAGACTGTCCGACAACGGAAGAGTGTCTTCAGTCAGAGGCTTCTTCAGTTTGGCTGCAACACTGACCGCTACTGGAGATCCTTCCTGCCAACAGCCGTTGTAATATACAACAACTCTTTGATGACTTGATTATTATTATTATTCTGAGCTACTACAGCAATCAGTTTCCCTCTGGCATTAATAAAGTACTTTTGAATTGAATTTTGTAACCTTGGCCAGATCTGTGTCTTTCCACAGTTCTGTCTCTGAGCTCTTCAGGCAGTTCCTTTGACCTCATGATTCTCATTTGCTGTAAGATCTCATGTAGACAGGTGTGGCCTTCCTAATCAAGTCCAACCAGCATCATCAAACACATCTGGGCTCCAATGAGGGTGCAGGACCATCTCAACGATGACCAGAAGAAATGGAAAGCACCTGATATGAGTGTCACAGCAAAGAGTCTGAATACTTAGGACCATGTGATATTTCAGTTAGTCTTTTTTTTAATCTGCATAAATTTCTAAAAGTCTGTGTTTTTCCGTCAATGTGGGGGGCTGTGTGTACATTAATGAGGAAAATAATAATTTCATTGAATCCAGCAAATGGCTGCGATATAACTAAGAGTGAAGAGTTCATGGGGGTTAGGGTGAACACGTTCCCACTGTAAAGTAGGTAATCGTCCTCCCCAAGCCTCTACCCTGGTGTGTACATCAGAATGTGAGCCTAGAGCGTCGATCAGTAGAACTGTGTGTGAGGAGCTGTCAGTCCACCAGGTGAGGCGCCTCGGTGAGTTTAGTACACTACACACGTATTAATGTTTGCCAAAGTTTGTTTGGACAGGTAAATACAGCTTAGATGATTGTATTTTAGAACACTGGCATATAAAGTTTGTTTAAATAAAATAAATAATAGTGGAGAGAATAGATCATGTCAGCCTGTATACATCAAGCCAACTTGGTGATAGTTGGCGACTCCAGAACAAAA